AAAAAAAAAATCTAGACATAAATTTACCCTGGCTTGCTTTAGGTAACGAAGAAAGCCCAGTTCTTCTGGTCGTAAAATGAGCAAAGCATGTCCTCTACCATTTATGCCTCTGGCAGTTCTACCAACACGATGAATATATTCCTTTTGGAAAGAATAAGAAACAGCAAGTCCAATAAGTCTTTCAAACACATAATAGTTAAACAGCTTCACGAAAAAAACCCCAAATTTAACATTAATATAGTGCAATGCATCATACATTGTTTTTTAAGACTTAGCACTGACACAAAGATGAGGGAAACCAAATGCTGAAGATGCAAAGTGTAATTAGGCTGAGACAGAACCCTTGACTAAAAGTATCTTATCTTTTACTGAAGAAAACAACCAAACATCTTAGTCTGCTGTAACTGAAAACTGAACTTTGCTTTTGGTATATTTTCTCTGTAAATTTGTCAAAACTTCTCATTTTTTTGTTTGAGTTTTACTTGTTTACACTGAACATTTATTCAAGTAAGAATACTGACTTCTAAATAAAAATAAAATTTCCACTGGAAAAGCTGTTAGGAGACTCAGGGATGCATATATAAACTCATACTACTCCTTAGAATTGTTTTGTTGTTTAGCTGATTAGATTTTAAATTAATTTAACAGCATAAACCATAGTGTTTTAAAAAGCATCTCTTAAAAAAGTAACAAAGGTCTCAGCTAGGTGCAGCACTTCCTAAGAGCTGGTGAAAAGAAGTGGAAGAAATCAACAGCTAGATATGAACATGGCTGAATCCTGACCTCTGTCAAGCAGCAGTTTCAGCTTTTCTCTGCAATTAAGTTTGTAGCTAGGATTTGATTTGTTTCTGTGATATTTCTCTATATCCTTAACTTACTTTTGGATCATCTGGAGGGTCATACTGGACAATCCAGTCAACTTCAGGAATATCCAATCCTCTGGCAGCTACATCGGTGCACAACAGTATTCCAGATTCTGCATTACAGAACTGGAAAAATGTTGTAGTACGTTTGGTTTGTTTCTGCTTGCCCTAAAATGGAACACACACATTAAGGATGAAATATCACCTAAAAAAAAAAAATAAAAAAAATAAAAATTGGGGGGATCTTTCCATATTATGGACTTTTACAACCCAAGCAGGACTACTTCACAGTGAAGAAACAATGCTACTACAGTATACAGCACAGGGGCTACATGGAATGGTATTTCTCAGAGCTTACACTGTAACTTCCAAGGCATTAAAATTTTGGTTGCATCAGCATTCCTTTTAGAGGGCAGCATAAATGCCTGAAGTTCATAAAAAGGAGATTTGCAATTCTAGCAATGTTAGATACATCACAGGTTAAAAAAAAATATTAAACAAGGAACAGTTCTATCAAAGTATAGCAAAAAAATGCCCAAAAGAAGACAATAAAAAAGGACATTTGTGGTCAGTTATGACTATTTCATAAGCTTTCAGTCAATTCTTTCTCCTGAACTATGCTTTCTGTGGTGTTGATAAAAATGTAAAATACTAATCCAAATGGTAAGAATTGGCATAGTAAAACCAATCATCACATGGCCTTAGAAAAAGCAACGAAAACTCCAGGGATCACAGCCATTGGATTCCTCTGACAATTGCTTTGTTCCACAAATTGAATTTTAGTGCTTATGAAAGGCAACCCCTTGGAAGAAAACAGAAAGATTTCTACACACAGAGCATAAATTAGTATCAGTGTTCAATCCTGGTTTGGAAAATAGCAAGATTAACAATGTTGAAGTGTTGTTATTACAGTCTTTGCTTTATCTCCTTCCTCTACAGACTAATCACAATCATCATCAGTTTTGTGAGCAGGGTATCTGTTTATGAGAAACTACACCAAACTAAACAAGGCAGATGTAAGGTCAGTAGCAACTTACAGGTACTATCAGATTAATTAATCAGTGAATAAAATACTTACATGAATGGCCAAAACAGGCAGATCAATATAGTTGAGTAATTCATAGTGGTACTTCACTGACATACATGAAGAAAAAAATACCATTAGTTTCTTCTTCCGGTTCTTCTTGAGGAATGTGAAGAGCAAAAGGAATCTTTTTTCAGATGGACACACCACATACCCCTGGAAAATTTTTAAATATTAATTATTTAAATAAAGTAGTATGGAACAAACTTTCATTTCAGCAATACAGTTAAATCAGGGAAGTGTAATGTTGCGAAACAAATACTCCAAATAGTTAGTTTTTCCAGCTATCTTGGGACAAACCACTCGATTTATTGTCTGTCCCTCACCTTGGTGTATGAAACTCTTAAAGATGATGAACTTGGCAAGAAACTTACTGTACTAACTTGAAATATGAGGAAGAGTAATTAGTTTATACAATAAAAATTTATTTCAAAAACTTTAAATTACTGACATTAGGCATGAAAAAAACTGCATAGGGTTCTTAACTTTTTTTTAATGATTGCAAGAATTTTATTTTATGGAATTCTTACTACTTGCTTACCCTTTTAAGGTAATACATAGCTACTGGTAATTTTCTGACAACACTCAACATGTCAACTGCACACAGAAACTGCTGTGCAACTCCATTTAGCTATTATCTGAAGCAGCAGCAATGAAATATATCTGAAGTATATCTATCTCTAGTCAGTAACATGGAAAATACAGTTAGAAAGACAACTGGAGCTTAGGTATGTAATACAGATAGGAGTAGACAAGTGTAAGTAGCTATATTACTATTTCATGAGGTTTTGTATCATGTCCTGCAAACACTGACTAGATGCATGTAACTTACTATAGTTAGCAGACTGAATGCAGCCCTTTATGCAACTGACAGCTTTTGCCTATTAGGATGGTAAACACCCTTTAAGACAGTGTTTGTACAACCCAGTTAAAAACACATAGGACTTGGTATGTTCACAGCTCATACCCCTTTTAATAACATTTGTGTTTTACCTGTTCAAGACCATCTACTGTTGCTGTCTCCTTGTTATCGTCAACCCCAACATATAGTGGCTCTTTCTTCAGAGAGATCTTTGCCAGATCTTCAACCTTTCTGGTTTGCGTAGCAGAAAAAAGCATTGTCTGTCTGCGCTCTGAAAAAAATACTTAATTTGAAAGACAGCCTCATTTTTGTCGTGGTTTAGCCCCAGCCGGCAACTAAGCACCACGCAGCCGCTCGCTCACTCCCCCTCCCGCAGTGGGACGGGGAAGAGAATTGGGAACAAAACTCGTGGGTTGAGATAAACACGGTTTAATAGGACAGAAAGAAAGAAAGAAAGAAAGAAGGAAACAACGATGATAATACCAACAAAGGAATGTACAAGAACAAGTGAGAATTCAAATAGCAAGTCCGTAAAATCTCTAGCTGCAAACTTCCCTGAGCAAGTCATTTACTTTTTTCAATTAAATTCTAATTCAAACATACTTATACTGACAAACAAAGACAGGTGTAACTGTATTATGGATTGTACAGGATGTTTACTTAGGTTGCCCCCACCCCCAAAATCCTAACAGCTATCAAAACACAGTATTCCTTCTCTCTGGGAAAATGTTAATAATACTTTCCACTCCAATTTAGACACAAAACTATGATTTAAATAGAAGCTGACCTTGTAATTCTAACCATAAATTAATTCCCATGAATATTAAAGTGTTTCTGTTAAAAAAAAAAAAATGCTAGCGAGTGTGCAAGAAAAAAAGTTACTAAAACTAAAGCACATTGCTACTGTTTGTCTTGCAAAATAAGTCTAGAACATATACATTTGCGCATGCTACTTAGTCACATGGCAGTACGTCTGTACTGAGCCTTGGTGACTTCAACGGTCTTCGAGCAAGTGGAGGAGATGTCCTGCCTGCCTGTCACCTCTCAGCTCAAATACACATCCTGATCCTGTAACATTTTCTCTCATTGCACGAGTACACGGCAAATGCAGACGGAAAATACCTGTTCCATTTCACAACTGCAAGAACGGTAGCAATTGCGCTTGCCAAAGCAAAAGATTTCTTTTATCCATTATTTGCCACTTCACGAGGAACACGTCATTTTCCCACTCTTCCTTCCCTTTCCTTTTTTAGCACTGTTCATTAACATTCTTCACTGGATGTTATTTATTAGATTTATACATCTGCATATTAAATATGCAGTTTTGAATTTTAATATTTAAGATGTGGAACCTTAAAATATTTATCCCTAAATTTTTTATATACTGTTTCCCTGGGTGGTTTTCTTCTGCATTTTCAAAGTTAAATGGAGCCTTGTTGACTCTGAGAATGTGTCAGTTACAAAGAATAATTAAACGAAAGATTAGGAAAATTTTAGGGTAAATACTTAAACTTCCCTAAGATACTGCTCTTAGAGGTATGAAGAAAATTCGAACTGTAAGTCAGAAGACTTTTTTCCTTATATTTAAGCCTTATTAGGAAATAATGAATTGTAGGAAATAAATGGGCAGAGGAAGATGAGAGAACGTTGATGTTAAACTAGAAGGATCTTCTATGAACAGAATTATGTCCCTAAAGTGCTTATGAAAACTCTGTCCTTCACATAAATGATGTTAAATAAAGTAATATAGGCTACCCATCAGAAAAAAAGGACACAGTAAGACAATCACTCTGAAGCGCATTTACAGAACTATAAAAATTAATGACTTCTCTTATAATAATTGAGTCATAAAAAAGACATAATGTTAGTTAAGCGATTTCCAGGAAAGACAGATTTTTTTTTTCCCCCCTTACTTGGTAGCAGTTTTATGATCTGTTTCATTTCTTCTTCAAATCCAACCTCCAAGATACGATCCGCCTCATCAATTACCAAACACTGCAAGTTCTTGTACATGAAACCTGGAGTGTTCTATAAGATTAACAAATTCAGAGTCAGACAGGGACAGGAATTTTATTATGTTTTAATAAGACAGATCAGGCATCAATATTTTATGTACCTGCATGTGATCCAGTAGTCTTCCTGGTGTTGCTACGATGATGTTGATTCCATTTCCAAGTTTCTGTGCTTCTGCTGATCTGTTACTGCCCCCCATTATCAGACCATAGGTGTGAACATGATGATTCATAAGTTCTTTAAGAACTCCATAGGTTTGCATAGCAAGCTCTCGAGTAGGAGAGAGAATAACAACACCTGTTCCTAAAAAAATACATCAATCAGATGAGAATAAGTTACAGCTTGTCCAGTCCCTCTCCAAGCCACATCTCTAAATGGCTGTGCCACAGTAAAATTCAACTTTGAAATGAAAAGCCTTACCATTTCTAGGCATGAATTTTAGCTTGTAGATGAGCTCTACTGCAGGAATAAGAAAAGCAAGTGTTTTGCCACTGCCTGTTTTTGCAGCTGCTAAAATATCCCTGTATGCAGCAAAGTTAGAAAAAGAAGTATTTAGTTGACTGTACAGAGAAAAGAACAATCCTATTCTGAATAATGCTGACAACGTAAAAACATAACATGGCTTAAAGGAAACCGGTGGAGTTGGTATTAAGAGCTCGGTGGCACGTGGTTCACAGTAATTGGTCACTATGTCTCTAGTGAGAGTGCATGACACTGTCTTTGAGACATACTGACAAGAAGACTAGAGGAAACAGCCTTCCCTCCTTTCAAAGCCAAATGCAAAGCAGTTTCCATAAGCTTACCCTAAGTACATGTTAACATGCAACACAGATACACTTTGTTAATTTGTATTAATGTCTATAAATAAAATATACAAGAACATAGGAGAACATATTTAAAGACAAACAGTTTAGCTGCAGAAAGTCACATTTCATGTATTTGGCTTACTAGCAAAATTTATACAACATTTGGGGTCAATTTAGTGATTAAAAAGATGTATTTCTTACCTGCCTTCCAGAAGCGGCTTAATGCTTTTATGCTGAATTTCGGTCATGTGCGTAAAGCCCATGTCATTTATGCCTTTCAGTGTATTCTCACTGACAACACCAGCCAGGGAAGTAAAAGAATTGTCTTCAAAAGCACCTGAAGTGAGGGGGGAAAATAAGAAATGTTCAAACTTATTTCTCCAATTCCATCTGTCCTCTGAGATTACCCAGTTAAAATTGAACTAGATTGGGTGGTTGGGGGGGGAATCAAGGCAAACAACTTTTTCTTATTCCTTTCTACTGTAAAATCAGACGACACTGACAAAATACTGTGTAATAACGTGTTCCTAGAAATGCTACACAGAGCATCATTGGCTACACAAATGATGCCAAATTTACTAGTCATACACCTCTATCTTGCTCTTTGTTGACTTTTTCTTCTACACTTAAACATATGTTTATATGTATTTTTAAAACAGATTTTCACTAGTAATTTTAAGACTTACAGGAGTGTGTATATAATGCAAATTTCAAAGAACAGTAACTGAGTAATAGCTCTACAGTTGCCAGCATCATGTCAGCTATATTCAAATACCTGACTTAGAACCTATTTGAAAACTGCAACTTGCTCTGGAAAAAAGTGTTAGACCTTAGATTTTTGCACATGTATGAAAAAGAGGACACAAGATACCTGTTACACCTAGTGGTAAACTGGGCCCTTCATCCTCCTCCTCCTCCCCCTCCTCCTCTTCCACTTCTTTCTCTCCAGAATCTTGCTTGTCTTCATCTCCTACCTCCACAGGTTCATCTTCTTCAGTTTTGGCTTTTTTAGTTTTTGTATCTAGTGTTATTTAAAGACAAGTCAGTCAGAGATACAGTGGACATGTCCATCATTAAAAGCTGTTCCACAGAGTGGATTTCTTTAGTCCATAATCCAGTTACAACTGTCAGGCTTTTTTCATGGGGCAGGAGGAGGGCAGGAGAAAGGGAAGCAAGGTTTCTATGGAACTTTCTGATGCAGAGAGCAAAAAGTTCCTAAGTTCCTTCCACACAATCCACTTCACATAGTAAAACAGTGAAGCTTAATGTATATTATATAGCATTTTCTATGGAAACAAGATAAATCATCCTTGAAGAAGTTATGAAATTCTTTCCTATCTGTAATGCAGACATCAAGTTTCCATCATTCTTTGTGCTCAGGACAAGTGAGACATAATGTTGCTGCTCTGTTTTAAGTACCTGAATCCTCAGAGCATGCAAGCACCTCTTTATCTGCATAACCATGACGAGTGTCACAAAGATGAAATACATAAGGGATAGAAGCTTCAAATATATACGTCTGCATGCATATCTATACATATATATGTATAAAAAATATACACAAATGTAGCAATATTTGCAAGATGGGAGTTTTTTGGTGTAGTTTCCCGGTATACTTTAGTTTCATAACATACAGATATTGCCAAAGGCTGGATGCGTTGCTCAGAAGACGTACTGGCTGGACATTCAAGCACGGAAAGCATCTCTCTGTCAAAGCTCTACTCTGAAAGACTGTAGATATATTTGCATAACAAGCAAAACATCCAAACGTAATGTTACAAAGCAGAATCCTATGCAACAAATAATTGGCTGCTACCAGTTTAGCACGTATTAAGAGTTAAAACGTTACAGCTGGAGTAAGAGAACAGGTAATACCGAAGACCTCCGGGGCTTTAAAACGTACACCAGACCAACACGCGGTAGTTCTCACACCGGCAAATCCCCTTCGCCAGGGCGTACAAGGAAACTCGGCGCTTTCTGGGTTCTCCAAGCATAACTCAGCCCCAGGAGACAAGCTGTATATCTTAAGATAACGTACCATCCTCCGCATCAGCCACCGCTTTCCTCTTTTTCTTCTTCCTCTTCTTCTCCTCCCCGCCGCGGGGGCC